CATTCTTATCTGTCGGAAGGGAGAATTCTTTAATATCTGGTTTGAACCTCTCTCCTTCTAGTTTCAATATGGGACCTTGGGTATCATATTTCTTGCACTGCAATATAATTACCTGTATCCATCTGTTTCTGCTGGATATTTGGCTTGTTCCACACACGTATTATCTGCAGATAGGTTCCTATCACATTATTTTTTAAAAGAATGTTTATTATAAGGGCCAAGGGTTGATCTTTGAGATGTTGCCTTTATTATTATATTGGATATTGGCCATTTGGTTTTCTGTGAGAGGGCTTTGCTGAGCCTTCTACCCCGAGGTAATTGAGTTGGTACTAATGCTTCTTATAATGTTGAGGATATATTTAAAATTAAGTATTTTAGCCATTCTTAGGGGGATGCTCTGTGATTAGTCTTCAGGATTACAGCCTATTCTTATATTGATTGTGCTGATTTAATCTGCAACTGAATTACTGATATTGTTACGGGGAACTCTTGTCGGCGTTAGTAGGTAATGGGTCATTGCTGACACCACCATGGAATAGTTCAATGTTGGTGTTCCCTCGGCACTTTTGCAGTTTGGTCTAAAACTCATTTCACAATCATTATCCAGTGCTTTCGAGGAGTTACTTCACATTGATGGAATATAGAAGAATAAACCTTCAAAATTTGTAATCGAGATCGAGATCAAGATCAGAGTGTTTTGTAGTATCTAACTTTAGGTTGATGTATAATTACTCGTAAATTTTTCACAGCTGGTAAAACTTTAGATGTCTTAGATTCTCTCTATATTTTTGGGGCTTTCTTTAGACCGCGACATATTAGGTAGTTGCACATTTCATCATTTAACATGGTGTCTTCCCAATGCTTTTGATTACTGACAATTTTTTGTTTAGTCCTGCTATTTGTTTCATATTTTCATTGTTGAAGAGTCCTCTCCTTTTCACCTAGTAGATTTGGTTTATATTCCTGTTTTTGTTTTATTGCATAACATTCAATATTTTCTTATCAATTGAAAGTTGACTGGATGATATTTTAGAAGCCAGGAAGTTATGTCTATATAGGTTGAGTGAAATCATTCTTTATTAAGACACTTGAGTTTATGATGCTAAATTGAGTTGGCCTTTTAGTCTATGACACCATGACACTATCCAAGATTTACTTGCTGATTCTGCCTCTGGTAACGTAAAAAATGTTTTGATTACATTTATTTGTTGATATCTAGTATGTCTTTTGCACACGTTGCCTTGTATGCAAATGGGTGTGTAGGAAGCCAATGGGGCTTCTGCAGGAGTGAATCAATAGTACCACTCAGTCAATCAGTACGGTATGTAATCGTCTAATCTTGGCCTAAAGTAATGTGCTACGTAGATTGTGCTCGAGTTGACAGCATGAGCACGCCTAATTTCCTGTCTTTGTTTCTACACATTTTACCTGGATCAGATGTCTATTTCGCTCGTATATTTATGCATCTATTTTTTATGCTGTTTTTGCACGTGTGTGGGATCAGTTCTTGGTTAATTTGAGTCAACATTTTTGTGCAGAATCGCCTTAGAAATCCAGCAATGACCAGTGGTTATGCTCAGCAAGGTTATCAAAATCGACCTCCTACAAGTTGGGCACAGCCTGGTGCACAAATGCAGCAGCAACCCGGTTTCGGCTATGTTCAACCCGGTGCATACCCAGGTCCATCACAACCCCAATATAACTCGAATCAACCACATTATCCCGGTTATCCTCCTCAACCCACCTCAGGTGGATATGCTACTGGCTGGGACCAAACAACAACTCCACCAAATCAGCAAGCTGCTCAGGCTGGCTATGATTACTATAGTCAGCAGCCACCTGCTTACAGTCAAGGACAAAGCTACTCCCAAGATAGCTATGGTGGATATAATTCTACGGCACCTCAAGCTAGCTATGGTCAGCCCCAGCCAAATCCCGTTCCAGGCTATGATCAGCAGCAACAAGTTTACAATTCTACCTATGGTAATGTCTCAAACCAGACATCCGATGGCCAGACCTCTGCATATGGAACCACGGGCGATGCCATTGAAGCACCTACATCTGGCCAGTCTGGTTATGGGGCCACCCCGACTTCACAGAGTGCTTATGGAACCCAACCCCCAGCAGGTTATGGCCCTGGTTATGGACCACCTCAAGGTCAAAAACTTCCTAGTCAGCCAGCTTATGGGCAGCCACAGCAGTCACCAAGTGCCCAAGGAGGGTATTCTCAGCCTCAGGTGCAGCCTGGTTATGCTCAGTCTCAGCCTCCACCTACTCAGCCAGGTTATCCCCAATCAGATTCCAGTATCCAGCGACCTTCATCGGGTTATCCAACATCTCAGCCTGGGTACGGTCCCCCACCTTATGGAGCACCTCCCACTCAACCTGGGTATGTTCAACAGCAGCCAGCACTTCATAACACAGCTTATGGTGGTGGTTATTCCCAACCTCCAGTTTATTCTGCTGATGGTTCTGCAGCTGGTGGTGCACGTGGAACTTATGATGCAGCTCCCACCTCTCAAACTGTCCAGCCTAGTGGATCTGCTAAAGCCTCACCACCCAGTTGACGTGTCATGTCGTTGATCTCAGAAATGGTAAGCTTACGGTTTAGATTAAGGTCTACTTGAGTATAGTAGAATCAGATTGAATTGAACTCTCTATTGTATTATTGTGTTTTTTTAATATGGGATCCAGGTATCTTTTCGCTTTGTACTACCATTATCCTTGGCCAACATTGCTCATCGTGTTACGTTTGTTCGGATATAATTGCTCTAGATTATGTTACTTTAAAATCATTTATATTGTTGGTCCTAACACAATCTTTGGGTGAGAACTAATCTGAAGCACGAATGCCCAATTTCCATTAGGTGCTTATGAGTTCCTTCCATCACTTCCTAAGCAACTTTGTAAAACACTTGCATTGTTGGCGGATAATAATTTTTCTAGACTTGTTAAGAGATATCTACCGCCTCATGGTTGTAGAAGAAACATTAGATAGTGGCAAACGTAAATTTAGGTTCTAAAGAGCATCTTCGATACACTTTTTTATTAAAGCGAGATTATTTTTTTATTTGAAGAGTTAAACTTTGAAATTAGGCTCTAACAGACTTTAATATAAAATTTGTTTTACTACTCACTTAAACTCTCATAATTTTCAATGCCTCCGTTAACGCCCTCAAATGAGAGCACAGCACAGGGTATCTCACTTCAAACTCATAATTACCAAGAAATTGAATATTGCTAGAAAAGAAATACAATAGTAAATACAAACAAGGGACGGACGTAGACATTTTAAGTTAGGGAGCATAATCAAACTCTGTACAATTTGAATACTTTGTTTTTTATTTTGTGAATGATTCATACTTGACTTGAAACAATGCAGATTTACATTTAAAAAAAAAAATTCTTCATTAATATTTTGCTAATTTCATCCATTTGATTTTAAAAAATCATTTTATTAATGTTTTGTTCTTCATAAGAAAATGCGTATTTACGTTTAAAAAAGCGTAGACTGTAAACAAATTATTTGAAAATAATTATGTTTTTGCCTTTTTTATTTTATTTTTTGAGTTCAAAAATATAAAAAAAATTTTAAAAAAGGTACTAATGGGTTGGTTGTTTAAACTGCAACCAATCCGACCGACTTGTTATTGGTTTAAATTAATCAAATCGAAGTGATTTTTTGGTTCAAACCAACCCAACCCAACCCAACCCGATCCGACTCGATTTGGTTCGGTCAATTTTTTGGTTATTTTGCGAACCCTAATATGCACTCCATTTGTCGAGAGCAACCAACAATTGGCTAATATTTTTAGAAAAGTCTTCATGCAATCAAGTTTCAAAGTTTCTTTCAAAGTTGAGCTATTTTCGTACCTACTCCTAGGAACGACATAATAATAAAATCACCATCCTCTCATTTGTCAACCATAATCAGGGGCGGATCCAGGAATTCTATGCGCATGGGCTAAACAGTGGTATCGTTAGTTCGGTTATCGGGCTCGGTCCATAGGCGGCTCGGGCTTGTTTCGAGACGAACCTTAGCACAAGCCGAGCGGACATTTTCGACAAGCAACTCGTGGGCAACACAAAAATAACAATCATTAAGCCGACAAAACAACAATTATTAAGTCTACAAGACAACAATTCAACGGCAATTAATTAACTAATTTGCCGACAAGGCAACAATATTCAATTTCATTATTTTGTCGACGAGGCAACAAATAGTGAGATGAGGACTTACCATGGAGTGTATTCGAGCATTTCCTACATGTCTACATCTTCACTATCGAAAATATACTGCACCTTCGAAATTTAAAAATAATTCAATGGTGCCGGTTGATAATGAAGAGGAATTTTGCATTAGAATGAACTATGGAGCATGCATTAAAAATTCTCTTCGACTCAACAAAATATTGAAACGATTCAAAGAAAAATCCAAAAATAATAACTTTTGCTTAAAAAAAATAAATATTCGACCTCCGGCTAGTCTGTTGCTTCCAGGGTCGGATTCAGGAATTCTACACGTATGGGCTAAACAGTGGTATCGTTAGTTCGGTCGTCAGGCTCGGCCCATAGGTGGCTTGGGCTTGTTTCGGGACGAACCCTAGCACAAGCCGAGGGGACATTTTCGACGAGCAACTCATGGACGACACAACAATAACAATCATTAAGCCGACAAGAGAACAACAACTATTAAGCCCACGAGAACAACAACAATAACAATCATTAAGCCCACGAGACAACAATTCAACGGCAATTAATTAACTAATTTGCCAACAAGGCAACAATATTCAATTTCATTATTTTGTCGACGAGGCAACAAATACTGAGATGAGGACTTACTATGGAGTNAAAATGATGAGTGAATTTGAGAGTACATTTTCAATGCCTCCGTTAACGCCATCAAATGAGAGCACAGCAGAGCGCAGGGTATCTCACTTCAAACTCAGAATTACCATGAAATTGAATATTGCTAGAAAAGAAATATAATAGCAAATACAAACAATTAGGGGCGGATGTAGACATTTTAAGTTAGAAGACATAATCAAACTCTGTACAATTTGAATACTTTGTTTTTTATTTTTGAATGATTCATACTTGATTGGAAACAATGCAGATTTACATTTGAAAAAAAATTTCTTCATTAATATTTTGCTAATTTCATCCATTTGAATTTAAAAAGTCATTTTATTAATGTTTTATTCTTCATAAGAAAATGCATATTTACGTTTAAAAAAGCGTAGACGTTAAACAAATTATTTGAAAATAATTAAGTTTTTGCTTTTTTTATTTTATTTTTTGAGTTTAAAAATATAATTTTTTTTTTTTAAAAAAGAACTAATGGGTTGGTTGTTTAAACTGCAACCAACCCGACCGACTTGTTATGGGTTTAAATTCATCAAATCAAAGCGATTTTTTGGTTCAAACCAACCCAACCCAAACCGATCCGACTCGATTTGGTTTGGTCGATTTTTTGGTTATTTTGCGAACCCTAATATGCACTCCATTTGTCGAGAGCAACCAACAATTGGCTAATATTTTTACAATAAGTCTTCATGCAATCAAGTTTCAAAGTTTCTTTCAAAGTTGAGCTATTTTCGTTTCTTTCAAAGTTGAGCTATTTTCGTACCTACTCCTAGGAACGACATAATGATAAAATCACCATCCTCTCATTTGTCAACCACAATCAGGGGCGGATTCAGGAATTCTACGCGCATGGGCTAAACAGTGCTATCGTTAGTTCGGTTGTCGGGCTCGGTCCATAGGTGGCTCCGGCTTGTTTCGAGACGAACCCTAGCACAAGCTGAGCGGACATTTTCGACAAACAACTCGTGGGCGACACAAAAATAACAATCATTAAGCTTACAAGACAACAACAACTATTAAGTCCACAAGACAACAATTCAACGGCAATTAATTAAATAATTTGCCGACAAGGCAACAATATTCAATTTCATTATTTTGTCGACGAGGCAACAAATAGTGAGATGAGGACTTACTATGGAGTGTATTCGAGCTTTTCCTACATGTCTGCATCTTCACTATAGAAAATATACTGCACCTTCAAAATTTAAAAATAATTCAATGGCGCCAGTTGACAATGAAGAGGAATTTTGCATTAGAATGAACTATGGAGCATGCATTAAAAATTCTCTTCGACTCAACAAAATATTGAATCGATTCAAAGAAAAATCCAAAAATAATAACTTTTACTTAAAAAAATAAATATGCGACCTCCAGGCTAAGTCTGCTGCTTGTCCACAATTACGTTGTTATTAATTACTTAATTTCAAAAGGATATTTGAAAATGTTGCTGAACCACATCGTATTATGTTATTGCCCAGAAACTTCGTTGAGACAGAGTCAAAAACTTGACTTTAAAAAGAACATTAATTGAAAACTTGTAAAACTGCTTCTCATACTTAAGTTGTTTCAAAAACATTACTTTACTAATTAAACATATTACCAAATATCATTCTCCAATCCCAGAATCATGTTCTAAAACCTCAATTCAAAATCTCCCCAATTCTTGTCCGAAGAAAATTCATATGAAACCTCAAATTTAATGAAACCAAAATCATTGTTTTGCTAACTCGTATATGTAAGCCTAATATCTTCAAATGTTCCTCGTAATTTATCAATGAATCCGATCGAGATACTAACGAAAGACTCAGACCGCTCCTGATTCGTCAACTTGAATGGCATTAATAGAAATTTATAAAAATCCATAGCGAGTTTCGAAAGGTTGCCTTCATGACATAACTGTTGATATCAAAATTGAAAATCGAAGAAGACTATTGGCGAGGGAGTTTACTCTCATGGTCAATATTTATCCGACAATTTGAACAAGGCATGCCATACTGGAAGTCTAGTGGAGACACCCTTAGTTCTTTCGAGTCTATTTTCTATGTTATCGTTGAGTTTAGTGTTTCGTCAAGCTTGTCAATTCACCAAGGAAACCCATTTACCTTTTATTAGCTCATCTTCCCGAACTATTGATTTGATTCATTATGATATATGAGTTCCTTTGTCTTGTGATTTATATGATGTATATAAATATTTTGTTCTCTTTATTGATGATGGGTCGATAAACTACTTCGATGTATTTATTAAAATATAAAAGTAAGGTAACAATCTTTTACAGATTTTCGCACTATGCTGATTAATCAGTTCAATGCCACGGTTAAAATTTTCACATCTGACAACGGGAATTATCTTCGTAGTCATGGAATTATATCATACTAGGTCTCTTATGCATGAGATGAATGTCCTGTAAAAACCCTTGGTCTCATGTAGTGTTGCGTCGTACATCGAAAAAGAACAAGCTTGCCCATATAGCTACAGAAAAATATATTCTTGAAATCCATTTAACCCTCCCATAAAATCACTAGAACAAGAAAAATCAGTTAATAAGGAAAGCATTTGAAATAGCCATCTACACTAGAAAAGAATTTCATTAAAAACAACAGTCACAGTCGAACGGGCATAGACGGGTACCTCCAGCATCTGGCTTTCCAATGCCCAACTCCTCTTCTGTATAAATCGCTAACCCATCCCCGGTTTTCTT